TACAGTTGGCTAGAATCTGAGCAGGTATTAACCTAGGGGTATTTGTGTGACATATATAGACAGGTTCAATGTCTATAGATATGTCTGTATGTCTAGAAACTTACCCTTGGGAAATATGGTAAATTTGACTGAAACATGGCAAGAGCACCATCATATAAATGAGAACATTTTACCACACAGAGAAAACACATGAAAAACAAAATGTTAACAGTGCTGCTTATTTCTGAGTGGCAATAAGATACTTGACCATCTGTACATCCGCCCCCCACCCCAGGCTTGCCTACATTTTCAAGGTGCATATATTAATTTAATCAACAGAACAAACTATGGAATTACTTTTGACAAGCTAGCTGTGACTGATGCTTTTCCTCTTTTGAAAATACGAAAAAAGATTACTTTAAAAACCCAAGACAAGGGCTGGAGAGATGGTTGAACAGCTAAGAGCACTAGTTCCCCTTGCAGAGGACCTGGGTTCTAGTTCTAGCACCCACATGGTTTCTCACAACCATCTGTAACTCCAGTTCCAGAGGATCCAATGCTTTTGATTTCTGACTTCTGTTGGCATCAGGCATGCATGTAGTGTAGACATGGATGCAGGGAAAACATTCATCGACATAAAAGAAAATAAATAAAACAAACAAACCTCAAGACATAGGAACTTCAATTCAAGCACAAAAGAATCAATGTCCGTGTGCTACAACTGAGCTAAGAACCAAGAAGCAAACAAAAGAAAATAACTAAAGCTTCTGTTAAACATAAACTCGTCATGGGAGAAGAAAAGCCATTAATGGCTGGGCACTACGAACATGACCATAAGCACTAACAAACCAAATTCCAAACAATACTAATTATCCAAGAAATGATGAAGAAGGCAACTAACAGCAATGTTAAAATCTATGGACTTTTGGCTATGAGAGTTCAGAGCCCAGGAGGTTGGTGTCAATAGGAGGTGGAGGCGGAGAAGAATTTGGGTGGAGTGAAGAATGGAGAATACATTTTACAGATGCACCTTGCCAAGGATCTCAGCATACTTAGCAAACTTCATGACATCTGGCATTTGCCTTGAACTTTAATTTTTAAAAAGATTTATGTTATTTTTCATGTGTATGCCTGTGTGCACACGTGTGGGGTACGCATGCCTGAGGCAGTCAGAAGAGGGCATCAAATCCCTTGAAGCTGGAGTGGCTATGAGCCACCTGATGTGGGTGCTGGGAACTAAGAAGTCTCTGGAAGAACAGCAAGCACCCCTAATCACTGAGTGACTGAACCTCTTCATCCCTGGGACTTTCCATTTTAAGGTATGAGAGGATTTTGACCAAAAGGACAGCTGTAAATTACTTCCTACTTTCACTAGGACACATGTGAGGCTGACTGTTGCCAAGAAGTCACACCCTGTAACCTGCTCTTCAAATGTAAATTCCAATCGCCACATCTGTACCTAGGAATCTTGGCACCAGAGCTCAGGCAAACACCTAGTGATGCTGCCATGTTTCAAACAAGTTCTAAATTGCACCAGGCCTATCTAACCAGAGAGAGCAAGAACCTTTGTGATTTTAGCTTCAGGGTCCTTCTAGCAGAACATCACTAAGGGAATAAAGCCTGCGGTGGTTTGAATAAGGATGGCTCCCATGAGCTTCTTATATTTGAATGCTCAGTCATTAGGGAGTGGTCCTATTCGAGAAGAATTAGTAGATGTAGCCTTACTGGAGTAGTGTGTTACTGAGGGCGGCTTTGAGGTTTCGAAAGCCCAAGCCAGGCCCAGAACCTCTTTCTCTACTTGTGGATCAGGCTATAACTCTCAGCCCTAGCTCCAGTGTCTTGAGTGCTGCCATGATGTGTCTCCAACTAAATGTTGTCTTTTGTAAGAATTGCTTTGGTCATGGTGTCTCTTCACAGCAACAGAACAGTGGCTAAGACAAAGCCCATCTGGTCCATGAGGCAATTTCTTGGTTAAGTCTCTCCCATTATGTTATGGAACAGTGTCAGATCCCCTGGAACTGGAGTTACACAGTCAGATGTGAGATGCCATATGGGGGCAGAGAATTGAATCTTGGTTCTCTGGAAAAGCAACTAGTGCTCTTAGCTCTTAACCATTGAGCCTTCTCTTCAGCCCCATCTCTCCCATTATGGAAAAAAAAAAAAAAAAAAAAAAAGATACATATCAGCCTCGAAGCTTATTTGGAGAAAACACAGACACAGTAAGCAAGCGTTATGGGACTTGGGTTAGTCGAACTCTCAGTCCCTGTAATAAGCACCGGGGAGAAAGCCTTTTACAGTGGCAGATCTCGTCTTTAGCTCATGGTTTCAGAAGTCATACCAGAGCAGCACACACCTCGGAAGCCAGGAAGCAGAAAGAGAATTCTGCTGAGCTAGCCCCAACTGGCTTTCTCCTTTCCTCTTTTGACCCCTAGCCTATTGGATAGTACCTCATATTCGGGGTGAGCTAACACACTCTGTCAATCCTGAATGTTCACCCCACAGACATGGCTGAAAGAGGCATGCCTTACGAATTTCTCAATCCAACCAAGTTAACAATCAACAGTAGTCACAATGCACTTGAATACAACCAATCAAATACAGGTTAGGGTCTATAAGAGTCCAACTTCTGAGCCATAAAACTTGAGATTGAGATAGATAGCATGTGCTACAAAACAGAATCATTTAACATCAAAGGATGAAAGGAGAGCATTGAACAACAGCAAACACTGGAAGAGCTTGTAAGAAATGCCCGACTGCCAGGGCTCTTGGTGGCGAAGGCTGCTGCACAGCAGTGACTCAGCTACTGGTGAAAGGCATAATAAAACAACCTGAAGATGTACAGAGCTGCCCGCACGCTCCCTAGTTCTTCTATATTCCATCAAATGGTCACTTTTATGTAGCAAGTCCTGGTCAATCTTTTCCTACCCCTATGACTCATGTACTACGCTGGTCATCACTTTGAATGGCCTTTTTCAGACCACACTTTCCCTGCACCAGTTCTTCGGTCTCCCCCAGAATGATTTCCCTCCAGTCCCAGGTATATATATCCCTGAAACTCAGTTAAGCCAGGTATGGGTGAAATATGTCAACTTCTGAATTCTCCAGGTGTAAGAGAATTATCACCGCTAATAGCCTTACTTGGAGTCTCACTTCTGTACCAACATTCCATCATTCATAACTCCTGTATGTTCGTATGTGTGTGTGTGCATGTGCGCATGTGTAGGCCAAATCAACATCAAGCATCTTTCTCTTTCACTCTCCATTTTAATTTCTGAAACAAGGTCTCTCACTGAACCTGGAGCTCATCAGCTGAAGCCCAATGAGCTCCAAGCATCCCCGTTTCCCATCCTTCCCCAGTGCTGGCTGGGATCTGAACTTGGTCCGCATACTTTCACAGAAAACACCTTACCAACTCTGCCACCTCTCCAGCCCCAGGATCCTGTCAGTTCTTCACGGGGCACCCACACATCTAGGGTGACCACAAACAACATTACTTCAAGACAGACCTCGTGGTAAGCCAGCCGCTATGTCTTCACTGTAAACACTCCTTATGAAACACTCCCTTCAAAGTACGACCAAAGAAAAACCTGAAAGCCTGCAGATCAATACCAGTTTCTCTGTTTAGCACCTGAAATCCTCAGTCCATCAACTGTTCCAATACTATATCAGCAACCTGTTCTTGCCTCAATAATATATCTCTTCGCTCTGGCAAGGTAGGCCTATTCCACACAAGCTCTTCTAATACCGGCCTCTAGCTTTTAATGATGCTACTCCCTCCTCACACCCTGCTTGCACTATTACAGGTCTTTCGAGGCCAATGGGCATTATTTTCTAATATCTAGATTTAGCTTGTTACACTTCCTAATGTCTTCCCACAGTCCAAATCTCACGATTCATGTATAGCCTATTTTATATAAATATGTTGAACAAATACATAGAGAAGACAGATCCTTAGATCAATTCCCATGTTTGTTCTCTTTTCAAAGTCTCAGATCACACATTTCCTGATAGGTATAAAAGAATGTAAGCTATGAATTCAATGAGCAATAAAAACAGGTAGGAGGACAGGCTGGCAAGACAGCTCAGCAGGTAAAATCACTGTCCAAGCCTAACTATTTGAGTTCATTTCCTAGAACCTCTACAAAGTTGCCCTCTAAATTCTAGACACGGGGTGAGAAATGTACGCGCGCGCGCGCGCGCGCACACACACACACACACACACACACTCCACTCACACACATATAAATTTCAAAACAGGTGGTAAAGCAACACTAAGATACGCAAACAAAACAAACTACTCATATAAATGAGCATAGTTCTGCAACTAAGCCAAACAATTAGCAAACCAAATACAAAGACAACGCAATCATAACACAATACAAACGAAAATATAATACAATACAGGGCCCTCCAATTTTCTCTCACATTAAATACTGCAACCTAACGTTAACTGGGTGTCTAATTTAGGATTACTGACCTCTAATTTAGGATTGTTGCTGACCACTAGTTTACTGTGTAGCATCTCTTGTTTTTTTTTAGTGGCATATGGTCTCTGCACCTGTGTTTACCTAGCTGGAGTCTGAGGCACCCTGCAGGTTCTGGAATTATATTCCTGAAAGGGAAGACTTGTCCCTTTAAAAAGAGTCCACGCATGACTCAAGTTGAGACACACAACCGTGCAACACCACTCTATCTCCCTATCAGCTCCATTTTTTTTTTCCCATGGGAAAACCTAACAGGAAACTTCCCCAAAGCGCAGAGCAAAGCAAATACATGATGCTACCAATCGTCAGTGTCAGATTTCGGGCGGCAGGCAGGGGCCGTTTGGCCCCGGGAGCCACAGCCCTCTTCCCTCAGCCCACGATCGCCAGTGGGTCCGAGAGCTCCGGAGACGCGGCACGGTATCCAGGGGACAAGCACCTGTCACGGGGCTGCCGCGGGGCGCCCGGATGTGGCAGCGCGGACGGCAAGACAGGGCCGTGGCCTCCCGTTGCCCTGGATACACGAGACCCCGGCCTCACCTGCTGGGCGGGCCGCGGCTCCGGGGGGGCGGGTGGCCACGAGCGCACCGCATCCCGGCCACCAGCTTCCTGGAGATTCCGCTCCTTTCCGGGAGGCACGCTGCGCGCGCCCGCCAACGTCACGTCACAGCCCGCGCCGGCGCGCACACGTAGGAATCCAGCGCGCGCACGCTGGGGAAGGTGGGAAACGGGCCTGCGTGAGGCGGGGCCTGCTGGATGATTGGCACCGAGCGCTGGGCAAGCCTTCGGATTTACTCAGGATTGAGGGAGGGAGGTTCAAGTGGCTCCTGGCCACCCCTGTCTAGCCTGGTGGTCCCCAAGACGCAAAATGAGGGTGAGACTGCGGTTTATCTTTCTTTCGTGTTCCAGAGGATTCTAGGAAACAACACAGCCTAGCAAGGCCTACGCATAGTGGCTCAGCCCAGGATGCTATCTAGCATTCATTCATTATTGTGTACACGATGGGGCGATGGGGAGGGCACAGGTGCCGCAGTTCGCTGTGAACATACCAAGGGTAACTCTGGAGAAGAGCCTCTCCTTCCACTCTAAGTTACAGGAATTGAACTCAGGTCTCCAAGGTTTGCATGGCAAGCGCTTTTACTCACTGGGCCATCTCAACCAACCTTCCAGTTCTGCATATTTTCCCATTCTGCTAGTGATTTCTTGCTTCACAAATGGGAAGGTACTCTGACAGTGCATCTCTTGTCTTTCCCAAGCAAATGACCTATCCTGTGCCCTGGTTATGAGGAGAAATAAGGTAGAACTTGCATATTGACTCCATAGCTCAATTCAGTGCTTTGAAGTTGCAGAACTGTGTACTTCAGAGTGGAGATCTGGGAATGGGGTGTAGACTGTGGACGGGACCATCCTGCTAGACACGGGAAGGTATTTTTATGTTTAGAGCTTTATAACCAGCTACTTATCAAGCAAAACATGCTAACACAGAACCAGTAGTTCACTCTTAAAAAAAAAAAAAAAATCCTTTGTCCAGCACCAACTTGGGTCACCTGCTCTTTCTGGTAATGTTACACAAACTGGACTTGAAATTCAGTTAAATAAGAAATTCTATGCTGCAGGCAGAACCTGAGCAGTCATGCTTAGAGCTTCATGGGTTCTTCTCAGATTCTGCCGGCTCCTTGATTTCCTCCACAGAAAGCGATTTCAGAGCGAGTGAGAGTGAAGCAAAGTCAGCAGATTTAGAAGACTCAGTTGAAGAGACTCCAGTGCCAGCACCAGGTCAGGAGTGCCGCTCTGTATCCCAGAAGCAGCCGCATGTGTGACCTTGGGATTTGCAGCTGTCCCATATACAACTAAGTTTATATATTTGACAAAGCCTATGCTGGTATATTTATTTTTGTCACCCTCAGAATTCTATCCTTGAAGAGGTCCTTTTTAAAGGTATGTGATGCGGGCTTGCAGGAAGAAAAGGGGATGCTGATACAGAGAGAAACCCGGATCCAAAGGACCCTTATTTGTACATAGGTCACAAAAACATTGGACTGCCGTTTTAACAGTCTCGTCTGTGGTGATTCTCCAAAAATGGAGAGCAGTTCTTTTGCAGGTGGCTGGTTAGTTTTCCTGGGGCTTCGTCTAGGAGAGATGAAAATGAGAACCAGGAGATGAAGGGGGCCCTTCCCTGCTTTATGTCCCCTTGTATTTCCTAACTAGCCATCCTGTTTCAATTCCCTGTTCTGAGACCTTTATCTCTTAATCTTGACATGCCCGTGAAGCATCTGTGTTCTTATAGGTGTAGAGGGCATAACTTCTGCCTTTCCAGGGAGTGTGTGTGTGTGTATACACCTGCAGATGTATGTAGAGGCCAGAGGCCAGCCTTGGCTATTATTTCTCAGGATGCCATCTAATGTAGCTTGTTCATTCATTTATTATTTATTTTGAGACAAGGACATTCATTGAATTCAGAGCTCACTAATTTGGCAACCCTGGCTGGCCACTGAGCCCCAGGGATCTACCTGCCTCTGTCTTCCCCTCTCTAGAGCTACATCTGCACACCACCACACCTAGCTTTTTTATGTAGTTTCTGAGAATCAGGTTCAGGTCCTATGCTTGCATGGTGAATTCTCTGGGTTTGAAGGTTTTCTCATGTATGATCTAAGGGGAACATGAGAAGGTTAGCATAGAGACTGGAGGACCATTCTTTGGGAATCTGGAAAGATGTTATCATCTGTGATACTGGACTATGTAGACCATAAAGCATAGAGCTAGTCTTAAAGGTCAATGTTAAAAGAAGAAGGACATTTTTCACTGAGTTGTATCTGAGAGCCATCATGATAACCAATCACTGAAACTCAAATCACTGTGTCATTGCTTTAATTTCAGTATGTAAGTCTCATGTGGTTTAATATACGCAACATTCCACTTAAAGATGGCACAGGTTCCCACTGGAACTCAGTCAAAACCAATTTTGTAGGGTGGCTGTCAGTATTATTTAAGTGGGGATGCACACATTTGACCCAAACATTTGGAAAGGAGAAACATATGGATCTCTTGTGAGTTTGAGGCCAGCCTGGTCTACATAGTGAGTTCCAGGACAGCCAGGGCTATGTAGGGAGACCCTGTCTCAAAATAGAAAAGTAAAAGAAAACGAACAAAAAGTTAACTTTTGAATTTAGCAGTGAGATCCCTTGAGGTAGATCATTAAGGGCTTTTTGTGTGTACCCTAGTGGTCCTAGATGGCCAAGTCAACCTACTAATCCTATTTGAGGAATATAATTGGAAACTAAATGATTATGCCAATGCAAATCAGATTCTGTCTGTGTTGTACACTGGGGAGATTTGCAGAAGGACTTACAGTTTCTATCCAGTGTCCTTGCATCCAAGGGTATCCTAAAGTTCATTATTGCTTAATCCATTCTAAAGTACCTGTCAGTGGGCAGAGGTTACTACCACAAAACCATGGAATGACTAAGAGCAGCCCATCTAGTTCCAGTTCTCCAAATCTATTCAGTATCAGAGAATCAGTTTCCTCTAGTCATATGGTTTGGGTCCAACTATCATCAGGGATCCATTTGAAATGTCAGGTGAATTTTCTATATTCTTCAAAGGAATGATTTCTTTGTTCCTCTGGAAAGGGAGTCAGCCTATCACTGGCCATCTATCTGTAATCATCCCAAATCTGGAAATACCTTCCCTGTATCTGTGGTTATCTGGCCAAATAAGAGATGTTGTGGGGGAGTTATTTAACTTAGGTTGAGCCAGACGGTGCTCAGAAGAAAGTAGTCTTTACTAAAGAAGAAGCTTTCTTGAGCATTGTGAAGCACATTTGTCATCTTGGCATAAGGAGGAGGAAGCAAGAGGATTGGGGATCAAGGTCAGCCTGTTGGCTACATAGCGAGTTGAAAGCCAACCTGGTACCTACGACCTTGTCTCAATCAGTCTTTCAAAATACAAACAGACCAATAGATACACACACATACACATATGTATGTACATGAAATTTTCACAATCTGGCTGATGAACACTGCTACACTCTTGACTGGGACGTTAAACTGGAACTGTGACAGATTCTGTCTTGAGCTGTTTTTATCTTTCAAATATTTCCTTTTGGTGCTGGAGTGATAACTTGTTGGTTAAGACCATGGTTGCTCTTCCAGAGGACCTGGGTTTGCTCCCCAGCACCGGTATGGTTGCTTACAACCATTTGTAACTCCAGTTCTAGGGGATCCAGTGCCCTCTTCTGGCTTCATATACAAAAAATAATAAAATAAAATGCATTTTGCAGATTTTATTTAATGTTTATGCATGTTTTGTGTACATGTATGTCTGTGTACCACGTGTGTACCTGGTGCCCATGGAGATCAGGAGAGGGTGTTGGATCCCCTGCACTGCAGTTTCAGACAGTTGTGAACTACTGTATGTACTGGGGAGGGTCGTCTTCTGCAACAGGAGCAAGTACTCTTAACTGCTGAACCGTCTCTCCAGCCCCATCTGTCTTATGGTTCAATGACTCATGATTCATAGCCTAGCATTCATGTTTCTCAAGCTCCTCGAGTGAGCAAAGGTCCTTTTTATTTTGGGTGTTGATTTTTAGTCTAGGCATAACAATTGTTACTATGCTTTATTGTTTATACAGTCCAGTGTATCAGAAAATTAATATCGTTTCTTCCAGAATCCCATGAAGTGTTGACCAGCCAGTGTCCAAGATCTGGCCTTCTCATGCTCTACCTCCCTTCCATCAAGTAGCTGGAGACTTCCAGTTCCTGGATAGTCAGGGTCAGTGTCCCAGCCCCACACTCAAGTTTCAGAACTCTGGTCATCAGCCACAGTCAGCCCTGAACTTTAAGGTATCCAAGTCCCACAAGGGGGAAACCAACATAGGATAGCTTATAGGAAATAGAGGAGGCATGAGAAAGGGAAGGTCCTCTCAACTCCTGGTTCTGACTTCTGTCTATGCCTGCAAAGCTGATGCCTATACTTGGGTCTCCTTCAACTCAGTCTTGTTTTTCTCCCTAACCAATATGCTCTCTGGCTTTGTTCCACTCTGACTTAACTGTGAAATTCTTTTCTGTGGAGGATGTCAAGGAGCCAGCAGCATCCGAGAAGCCTGAGGCTCTGAGCAGGACTGCTTGAGCTTGCCCTGTCTGCATCCTTGAATTGCATTTTCTGTTGCCAGTGGTGGACAGAGCTGCTGTTCATAGCAGTAATCAAGGCCTTCATCCTCCAGGATCTGTAGAGTATTAATTCCAAGACTTCTTTGGGTATCAAAACCCATATTTGTTGAATAATTCATCTCTATATTGCTTATAAGACCTAATATGATATAAGGTCTATGCATGGAGTTGCTGTATTTTATTATCAGAGAATAAGGACAAGGAAAAATTTGTACATATTTATTATTGATACAATATATAAAAAATATTTTCAGTCCAATGTTGATTGAACCCATGAGTGTAAGTCATGGATGCGGAACTGAGTGCACCAACTTTGAACCATTCCTCTGTAACAGAGTCATAAAACCATATTAGATTAGAGCCAACAAAGAAACTGCCTCATCCTTTACTACTTCCTTTAACAATCACGGAACCTAGAAATTGGAGAGGTTGGTGTGACTTGTGTAAGATCCCAAGGGGATTCCAAACAAATGTTTTAAATTCCTACTTTGGTGCTATTTATTAACAGTCTGATGCTATTTT